CAACATGTTCTGCCCGCCCAGGCTCCACACCCGGCTGCCTTCAAGCGAGGTGCACAGGAGGGGGGGGCCTGCCTGGGCCAAGGCTCAGGACTCCATGCTGGCAACGCACCGCAGCCTCAGCTGCACAAAGGCCCAGGGCCGTGCGGCCCAGACCTTGCCCTCCCTGCCTCTGGCGCTCGCTGGTACAGTCACAGGCCCCGGGGCAGGACCGCTAGTCTGTTCAGCCTTCTTTTCAAACTTGCTACCATGGCCAGCACTTTGCTCTGTCTTTGGTACCCTCTTTTGGTATTTGGGGGGAGACCTGAGTGGCTTCGAAAAGAGGACACAGACGGGCTCAGATGAAACGGACACCACAATCTCAAACTCAGAATGGGGCACATTTCAAAGCCCACCACCGCCCTTCATTGGACAGAAGGCTATCCCAAACTTCTATTCCCAACAGGCAGCGCAAATGGCAATCGGGAGACCTGTTCTCCTCAGGCCCAGCAGGCAGCCACCTCCTCAGACACAGCCCTCCAACTCCTTCCTCCTGCCTTCTTCTCCTCACCAAGACCCACGTGGGCCGCACGTGGACTTCTTCTAGCAGATCTCCCTATGCTGCACCGAGCCCGCACCCCTGTGTTACAGGATGCCTGGCACAGAGGGAAGGGAAGACGTGCTCTTCCAGAAGAAAAATCCAGCTCACTTTTAACAGAACTCAGGGAGCACCTACTCCAAGGCAGACATAAGCATCTCTCTTCATCCTCAAATACAACACACAGAGGAAATCTAAAGATATTTAATATTTAATGGTATTAAAAAATAAGCACAGGCTCCACAAGCATCCTCACAGTTAAAAATGCAAGGAAAATAACAGCAATTTGTAACCAAAAAGTGAGTTATCACAAACTGTCCAGAAATCCTTCCCAGAGCCCAGAGGCCCATTCCTGCTAGAAACCCAGAGGGAAAAGGCCCCAGAAGGCAGAACTCCTCCCAGCTGGGATGTGGGCTCCCAGCTGGGGTGTGGGCTCAGGCACGGGCTCAGGCCTTCCCTTCAGCTTAGACGGGCCTACTTTCCACGCCCTCTCTCTGCCCTGAGCACATGAATTCTCCCAGCTTTCCAAGTATCTTGGAATAAGAAGACCCAAGTTCTACCCATCAGCAAGCACTGTGGTGGGGGGAGAGCAGGACCTTAGGGTAAAGTGTATGAACACACTGTTAATTTTAATATTAACCAAAAAACATGCATTTAATGAAATATAATTCTAATGACATCTAATATACTTTTTATTTAGTTTAAGGGAGCGTAGCCAAAGGATATTCCCTAGGATTAAAAATACAATAAGAATTTATCATACTAAAAAATTCAGTAAATTATACTGGCACAATTAGCTAAACATATTTCTTTGATAACAAAGCAAAGTATGCTTTGTTCTCTATTTTTAAACCCTAGCAAACCCTCTTTGTTTAAAAGGCAAATGAATTAGCAGGAGGACCTACAAGTTCCTTACAACCTGCAAATCCAACCCAGCACCGCTCACAGTCCATGGAGCCAGTGGGGAGGGGGGGACGGAGCTCAGGGGCAGGCACATGTGCTGTGACCATGAACTACACCTAACAGCCAAGGAGCACGGGGCAGGCAGCCAGGTAAGGAAAAACTTCCACTCCTACCACACAAACTCGAGAGAGCTTCTCTCTGTTTCAATACCAGGTGGCAAAGCATTCTGGGTCCAAAGGGGGACCCTCCAAGCTTGCTGCTCAGGGTGGTCCCCGATGTCAGCAGCACATGCACAGCTGGCAGGAGGGCACCTGGTTCTATTGTCAGCAAGACCTCTAGTCCCTGCGATTCTGGGGTCACAGGGCCAAGTGTCAGCCGTGCACACCTCTCCACGGTGAGCCCCGCCTATGCAGGGCGCCCAGCTCAGCACCGCACCCAGGGAACCTGAAATCACGCCTTGCAAGTTCAAGGTATCACCAATTCAAAAAGCAATCATTTTTTCTATTTAGAGGTGATCGACTAAAAGTATAAACCATTAAAATCTACACCTCTGTTCATATAAACACTACCTCTGAGACCCTGAGTGACTCAGCGGGTTGAGCATCAGACTTCGGCTCAGGTCGTGATCTCACGGTTCGTGAGTTCAGGCCCCACACTGGGCTTGCTGCTGTCAGCCTGTCAGCCCAGAGCCTGCTTTGGATCCTCTGTCCCTCTCTCTCTGCCCCTCCCCTACTTGTGCTTTCCCATAAATAAATATTTTTAAAAGCAACTACCTTTATTATTATAACATGCTACTTTCAGAAATTATTTTGTTTTTGGAAACATAATTCCAGACTCCTGTCTCACAGCAAGCACGAGCATGACACTTAACACACACTGCCAGGGGTCTGGGCCGGGACGCCAAGTCTGACTCTCGTGCACACTCACCTACCCCTGTTGAAGCGTGAGCCACTAAGAGCCACTTCAATTGTCAGCCCTGCTCTGGAGAGGCCAGAACCCTCTACCAAGAGAGATGTTAACAAAGCAAGAATCGTACCAGCTGTCGGCTGAAACTAGTTTTACACTAAAGAAAGGTTTAAAAAATTATCTAATTATTTTAAAGCTTACATTTTCATGGAGTTTTATTTCCATTAACAGTGCTACTTAATTTCAGAAGAAATCTTTAAGATGGGTGTCACCATTACCATTTCACAGGGGAGGAACCCATGGTCTGAAGACGCAAACAGAAAGTGGCAGAGCCAGGTCAGCCGGCCCGGCACACGCAGGCTGTGCGGGCCCCTGGGCCCCTGACGGAGCCATGCCTGAAACAGCTCCGGGCAAGACCAGCCCAGGATCCAGCCAAGCTGGAGACAAGAGCACAGGACTGAATGCTCAAGGGATTTAACAAGCCTGCCTCTTCTCCTACCTGACCTAAATGGCTCATATTCCACCTGAGGGATCATAACGAAAATTAATTAATGATGTGAATAACAATGAAAAATTATGACAGAGCCTATGAAATCATTCTATTTTTCAAATTCTGCCTTTTGAGTCCAGGAACGGTCACGGAGGGCATCCAGCAAGCTATGCACACTGCCGTGGGCCTGACCCCTTCTGACACAGGAGGGAGCCTGGCCTCCCCGCAGCCACAGCACGCCTCAGTTAACAGGAACCTTTATCTTTATTCAATTCAACACTCGTTTTGTTTTAAGTAGCCTTTTGTTAAAAGACCACTACAATCAATATTACCCATTTATGGTTCACAAAAGTTATACATGGCACGAGACACTTTGGGTTATTCTTGTGTTGTGGTCAAAAGAGTCCATCCTTCCCATGTTGAAAACCTTCTAAATACTAACCCATCTGTTCACACCACACACCGGGCCAGCCCACAAATTCACTGGCAAAGAGTGGCTAGTAACTTTTTTCTTTTAATCAGGAAATACATTATTTTGAATCACCAAATAGTTACCAAAAATCTAATTTAAGCGGCGTTTCCTTTTTCCTCATTATACATGAAGAACAATATTATAGTTTTCAAACAAGCACAGAGCTCTGCCCCCTGGTGTGAGTGGGTTTGGTTCTCCCTCTGAGCCCAGCTTTTCCTTCTCTCCTGCACCTCTCTCTCCACGGCTGCCCTACTGCAGTGATGGGCACACGCACATCCTGGGAACTACCCCTGGGCGCCACTCCCCGGTGTTACAGAGCTCCCCGCCACCCCACCCGATCACCAATCCACAGCCACACTGGCTTCCTTCTAACCGCTGATCATCCTGCAGATTAAGAGAAGACAAATATCTAGGCCTACTTTCGGGGACATCCAAGATTCCCGTGCCGTCAAACCTTATCTCCATTTCCAAGGAAATACTTTGGAGAAGTCAAAGGGACAGGCCAGGAAGCTTCCCCACGGCCTGATTCAGTGATGGCTGAGATAAAGGAGGGGGTCTTTCAGATTAAGGGAAAGGTCTCTTCCATGTCTGCTAGGAACACGATACAAAATGGTTAGTGTGTCTTTGGACACTTTGCTTTAAGACACTAATGCCTGGTACAGGTATGAACCGCTAAAATCAACTAAGAGTTTTCTTTTCAACCGTTATTTACCTACATATTAGAGGAAATAAACTGCCTGCTGGCACAACACGTCTCCCTGGTGGGGAGGGACGCTGTCCTGGGGCAACAGATGTTCCGCCAGACCGGACCCCGGGTCTTTAGGGGCGCAGCTGGCCCTCCTCTCAAAACCTTGCCAGTAATTCCCGGAAGGAACCAAGCAAGCAGGGCAACCTGCAAAAGGTCCCTCCTTCACCCACGAGCCACACAGGCTTGCCTCTAACTTCCAGAAATGCCACCAGGAGCTGCCCAGACACACGGGACACCAGACCCGAGCACAGCCAAGCCCCCACAGCTTCTGCCAGAGGAGGGGACAGTTCTCAGACTCGAAAAGCTCTTCTTCACGCCAAGTGTTCATGCAGTGTGCACAGAGCACAAAACAAAGTAGTCAGTATGGGGTCCCGAGGGTCTCCAGGCCCCTTGAGCATAGACCACTTTAGATAAAGAGGTTGAGCAGGGACCCCTGGGTGGCCCACTCTGGTGAGCGTCACTCTTGATTTCAGCTTTGGTCATGGTCCCAGGGGCATGGGATCGAGCCCCATGTCAGGCTCCATGCTTAGCGAGGAGCCTGCTTGAGATTCTCTCCCTCTTTCTCTCCCACCCACTTCCCCTTTCCCCTGCTCAGGCTCTCAATCAATCACTCAATCAAACAAAAATAAAGAGGTTGAACAGAAATAAACCCCCTTCGCATGCCAGTCTACCAGCCTGGGCTCCGTAGAACTACCTCACTGGGACACCAGAGCACCCACAGTTCACCACGATGGCATCTCGGCTCTGAGATCCATCATCCACATGATGTCCAGGACAAGACCCAGACACTCGGCCAGCGCCATCAACCCCACGAAAGCCACTGTGGAAGTCCAGCATGATTCATGCCCCTTCTTACAAACAAAGGAAAATAACAAACTGATGAACAGCAGTGCAATACAGTATTTACCGAGTCCATAGTTGAGAGCTGATGCTGACGAAGACCGTGTGTGCAATCCGACTGGGTGCGTTCCCGGGCAGCGCTGGGTGTGCTCTGAAACGAGAGGGGCACATCAGCTCGTATGGCTCTACCTCAGTTCTCTGTCCAGTCCCAGTCTCTCCAGGCGGAGCAAGCACTTCCTACCCGACCACCATCCTTCCTGTCGCTGGACTACAGACAACGAAAAAGGACTCGAAATGTGTGTCTGGCTGGTGTGGGTCACAGTGGGAGAACGGGCCTAGGAAAGGGGCTCACACTTGATGACTTGCTTCAGGACACTATCCAAGCAAGAATCTCTGTTCTCAGTGGTCTTTCCTGGAAAGCAGCGCCCAGGGAGGCAGGTGAAGGCAAAAACCCTCAGTGGCCGACGGGTCTCCTTGCAGATGGGGCTTCAGGACTGGGACCTTAAAGGGACCCACTCACTGACTTTTCTCTTTGTATAGAATGTGACAGAAATCTCACAATTACTGACCCTTTTTCAAAGTCCTGCGTTCTGCATCTTCTGTGGACACCCTGTCGCAGTCAGAAGAAAACATAAATCCTCCCTCTGGCTTACAAAGCCCCAGTGACGGGCACCCCTGGCTCCCACAGCACCTGATGCCCCCACCCCATGTTCAGCCTCCTCATGGAGTCCCCAACCTTAGCAAATAAATCAAGCGGCCACTGTGTCCTTGCCAGTAAGAAAAGGAGAGATCACAGCACAGTATCATGAGGAAACCTGACGGAATAAACTGTATCATCTCCTAGGAGGGCTCTGAGACCTTCCACAATAAAACAAGACAGGTACAACAATAAAAAACACGACTCATCACAACCTTTCTTCCACAACCGCATCAGAACATCACACTCTCTTCTGTCTCCAAACATCTCAGAAGTATGGAGTCAGAAAGGGACTGGCGCTGGTGGACGGAGGCAGGGAGAAGGCTCTCTCACAGGAGCCCGAGCCCCGCCCTCAGGGGCTGGAGACCTGGGTGGTGTCCTGGCCAGGGCTTGCAGCTGGGTGAGGGTTTCTGTCCTGTGCTCCTGCACGAGTTTTCTCAAAGCTAGCACGTACCTCAAGCACTAGGAAACACAAACAAGGAAAAGCCGATTCCAGCGCACCACATGGCTTGGTTTTATTGAAAAGCAACAAGTATGTGATTAAGCTTCTCAATTTTTTTTTTAATGTTTCATCCATTTCTGAGAGAGAGAGAGAGAGAGAGACAGCGTGAGCAAGGGAGGGGCAGAGAGAGAGAGAGATACAGAATCCGAAGCAGGTTCCAGGTTCTGAGCTGTCAGCACAGAGCCCGACATGGGGCTTGAACCCACAAATCATGAGATCATGACCTAAGCCAAAGTCGGACGCTTAACTGACTGAGCTACCCAGGAGCCCCTTCAATTTTCTTATAAAGACAGTTATGGGGGCGCATGGGTGGCTCAGTCAGTAATTTCATGGTTCATGGCTTTGGCCCTGTGTCGGGCTCTGTGCCGACAGATTAGAGCCTAGAGTCTGTTTCAGATTCTGTCTCTCTCTCTCTCTCTCTCTCTCTGTGTCTCTATAACCATCCTGTGTTCGTGCTCTCTCAAAAATAAAATAAACATTAAAAAAAAAGTTACAAAACAACACAGGATGCATGATGAATGCCTACACCAAGAATACAGCAAATAATCATATCTACCATTACAGTTTTGAAGAAAATTGAGGTTTTCTTAACCCAAGGATTCTCAAACTCAGCAGCACTGGCATTCAAGGCGAGGTCTGCCTCTGTGTCCTGGGCACTGAGGGAGGCTGCTGACTAGCAGTCCTGACCCCGGGTCCCCAGGTGCCAGCAGCACCCCCCAGGCTGTGACAGCCAGAACCACTCGGGGTACCATCACAAGCCCCCTGAAGGTCAGAGAACAAGGGCTGTGGATCCAACTGCAATTTGACAAACAAGGAAACCAAATCAGGATTAGGTGTCGGTAGCTACACAGGGAATTCAAAGCAAGTTGGAAAGAGCACCCAGGTCTCCTAAATCCTAGTCTAAAAGTCTTGTCGTTCTAAAGGAAAATACTTTGGTAATTAACCCAATTCCTTCTGGAAGACAAATTAAAAGCCTCCAGAACAGTTACGCCTTCTGACAGAGTGACCCCATCTCTGAGGAGTACACACGAAAGAGACATTTTGACATGGGAAAAACTCCCTGCAGCACATGCGTGCACACACGTTCACATCGAAGCCTCCACCTTCACGACAGTCGGGTTCTGTTCTCAAACAGAGGTGTGCTGGGACCACACCTTTTTCTGTAGGCCTACAGCCTTGGGGTTCACAGAGTGTGTTCCCTGCCCAGAAACAAAGACATTGGTGAGGACAGAGTACAGAAGAGGCCATGGAGACATGAAATGGCAGTGTTAACACAAATGGTGGACAGGTAGGAGAGGCAGAGGAAGCATTCAAAAGATGGGGCGGGGGCCCACCCCCGTCTGAGGGCAAGGCCACCATGACACGTGGCCTCGCAGAAAATCCATCTAAAGCAACAGGGAGATGTTCCCACCACCAGGACTGGCAGTGTGGACAAGGCAAGAGTCACAAGTGCTGAAGTCTGATGTGTACAATCTGTAAGAAAAATGACAAGGATCCTTTTTCTTTCTTTCTTCCTTTTTCTTCCTTCTTTCCTTCGTTATGAGAGTGTGCAACTGGGTGAGGGGCAGTGTGAGAGAGAGAGAGAGACAGAGACAGAGAGACAGAATCTCAAGCAGGCTCCACGCTCAGTGCACCCTGACTCAGCGCTCAATACTACGAACCATGAGGTGGTGACGTGAGCTTATATCAAGAGTCAGACGCTAAATTGACAGAGGCACTCAGGTGCCCTGAAAATGAGTTTTTAAAATAAACAGATGGATAGCCATAAGGAAAATAAAAAAAGCGAAACCCTGTAGACCAAAAACTGGGTAATTCTGCAAAATCAGGAGAATCAAAGCATGAAATCAAAGCAGAGAAAGGGACTGGTAGCGTGCCGTGAGAACGGGCCCCCACAACCACAGGACGTGGACAGGACAGCGCTATGCAAAACCAGCTGGCTCTTTACAGGCAGGACTAACCCAGACCCCACCGACCACCACCCTGCGCTGCCTTTCAAGGCGTTCCCCAGCACCCCAACTGTCTGCTCACCCTCAATATGGTGCGCCACCACGAGGGACAGTCTTTTACACATCGCACACACACACGCTGAAATCCTGATTGACAAGAACGTAAAACAACTTTTCTGAGGTCCTAAGTCAGGAAATAGTACCAGTATCTCCAGCTCTTAGCAAACTCATAGAATTCCTAATCAGCATCATACTCTATGGGTAAAACTCAAACGAAACATGAATATGCTCGTATCTGCCCATCTCTGGAGTGCACTGCTGACCTCACCCTTTGATGACAGGGTCCCGGGCAATGGAAATACGAAGACAACAGAAATCTGGGCAGTGACTAGACCACTTCATTGGTGTGAAGCCCCAACGAAACGACCACTTACTCACGTATCTGCAATCTCTCACAACACTTCCCTGCTCCCATCCTACAGAATGAGCGACCTGAGGGCAGTGTCTTCCATTCAACAGGAGCACAGCATCAGGTGGGCTCCTCTCGTCCTGTACCAGTGCTCTCTCCCCCCACGCCCAGAGCCCACGTAAGACAGACAAGACTTGCAGTGAGAGACCTTACCAGAAGCCACATACCAACCACATCAGGGACAAAGACAGGAAATGCAAACCCACCTCCACCAGACGCAGCAAAAGCTTGAACTAAAAGGGTCTATCCAGCTAGAAAATTCACCTTGAGAAAGGAACATAAAACCCAAAGAATATATAAAACACTATTAAAGTAAAAAAAAAAAAAGATTAGCACACACAGCAAGCTGCAGGATACAAGATCAATATACAAAAACCAGTCGTGTTTCCATGCACTAGCAATGAAAAATCTGAAAAAGAAATGAGGAAAACGCCATTTACAACAGCATCAAAAAGAATCAAGTATTTAGGGGGGCGCCTGGGTGGCTTAGTCGGTTAAGCGTCCGACTTTCGCTTAGGTCATGATCTCGCGGTTCGTGGGTTCGAGCCCCGCGTCGGGCTCTGTGCTGACTGCCAGCTCAGAGCCTGGAGCCTGTTTCAGTCTGTGCCTCCTTCTCTCTCTGACCCTCCCCTGCTCACGCTGTCTCTCTCTCTCTCTCTCCTAGAAATAAATAAAAACCTTAAAAAAGAAAAAAATTAAAAAAAAAAAAAAAGAATCAAGTATTTAGGGACAAACTGACCCAAAGAGGTGGAAGACGTGCACGCTGAAAACTACACCTCTCTGCCGTCGGAAGGACGACCTACGTAAGTGGGGGTCCTGTGTTCGTGGACAGCAGGACCAAAGGCAGCAGCACTCCATGAAGAGGTGGACAGACGGACATGGAGCTACATGCTCTCCTCCAGGGGCGCCACGGGGGCGGGGGCTCAGCCAGCCAGGGGTCCAACTCTTGGTTTCGGCTCAGGTCATAATCTCATGGTGCATGGGTTCAGGCCCCTGTACCGGGCTCTGCACTGACAGCAAGGAGCCTGTTGGGGATTTTTCTCTCCCTCTCACTCTGCCCCTTCCCTGCTCTGTCAAAAGTAAATAAATAAACATCTTTTAAAAATACTTTCCTTTAGGGGCGCCTGGGTGGCTCAGTGGGTTAAGCGTCCGACTTGGGCTCAGGTCATGATCTCACGGTTCGTGAGTTCGAGCCCCGCGTCGGGCTCTGTGCTGACAGCTCAGAGCCTGGAGCCTGCTTCAGATTCTGTGTGTCCCTTTCTCTCTGACCCTCCCCTGCTCACGCTGTCTTTCTCTCTCTCTCAGAAATAAATAAAAACATTTAAAAAAAAAAATACTTTCCTTTAGGAATCAAGAGCAAAAATAAATGATTGGGACCTCATCAAGATTAAAAGCTTCTGCACAGCCAAGGAAACAACCCAGAAAACTAATAGGCAACCAACGGAATGGGAAAAGATAGTTGCAAATGACATATCGGATAAAGGGTTAATATCCAGAATCTATAAGGAACTCACCAAACTACATGCCCGAAAAACAA